CGAGCACACGTGCAGTGTGTCACGCGCTCATAGGCAGGGGTGAACTGGTGAACACCCCCGTCCTGGAGCGCACTACCTGCCACCAAGTTCGTAGAGAACGAGGGGAGGTAGAGACCTGACAGCGTGCCGGACGGGACCGCCGGACAAGGAAGGACAGTGGAGGAGGTCGCAATGACCGGACCCCCAGAGGGGTCAGCAAGGGAGACAGCAACTGGCCGAGCGAGTGGCTCAAGGACAGTGCGGTCACGAAAGAAGGAGCGAGAAGCACCTGAGTCCAGTGTGAAGGTGTGCAGTGCTGCAGTCGACTCAGTACCAGGGGGCACGGACGCACGAGCACCTAGAGCAGCGGCCTCACCAGGACCTGTGGGAGCAGACGCACTAGCACCTAGAGCGGCAGCCGGACGGGCCTGAATGCCCGGGTCGGGCGGAACACGCAAGTACTGAGCACCCTCTCCACTAATAGACATCGCATACATGGCAGTGAGAATAGCATCAAAGTCTAAAGCCCAAATATCAACACCCCTCTTTTCCAGATCAGCCCAGCGCGGCAGCTCAGTGGCAGCAGGAAACTGAGTGCGCCACGCGTCGTTAAGGCGCGCGAAGCAGCGCTGCGTGGGGTGCGGCCTCCCACACTGCTGGCCGCTGCGGTCACCTGTGCGAATGACGTACGTGCAGGTAACGCTACGCTGCGCATACCACTCACGGGCGGCCTGAAGCGTCGGGGCGGGCTGCTGACTCTGCCCTCCGCCAGTGCCTCCACGACCACCACCCCCACCGCCGCCGCCCCGGCCACCTCCACCCCTGCCGCCGCCACGACCACCTCCGCCTCCGCTGCCGCCTCCACCACCACTCCCACCGCTGCTGTCTCCTCCCCCACTGCCGCCACTAGTCTCCCCAGCCGCGCCTCCACTCCCACCGCCTCCACCCCCACCTCCTCCGCCGCCACCCCCACCCCGGCCGCCCTTGTTCCTGCGGCGCCCGCTCGAAGCAGACGCGGTCCCGACCTTCTCAGCACCAAGAAGGTCGACAGCAGCAGCAGAGGCGACAGAGGGGAGGAGGGGGGAAGGGGAACACCCCTCAAAGAACGGGGTGCGGGGGTCGCCACGAGAGGTGCCTACAGCGACTATGCTCGCCTCGGCTGCAAGCAGTTCCTTCTCGAGGAGGGCAACAGTGAGCTCAGTGGGGGAGCGAGAGAGGAAGTGGTCCCTGACTGCGCGCAGAGAGTCAGGGAGCCGGGTGACGATGTGGTAGAGAGTGATCCAGAGCGGGGGGGGGTTGCTAGTGAGAAACTCGGCAGGCATAGCAGCGCGAAAGCGGGCCTCACTAGTCTTAAGGTGGGTGATGAGGTCTGCGACAGTGTGAAAGGAGGCTAGGTCGGGGAACAGGTAGGGGAGAGTGAGGCGGCCTAACGTGGCAGAAGCGGGTGAGGAGTAGCGGGCAACTACAGCGGTGTAGAGGTCCTTAGCAGTCTTGCACTGCCCGAAGTGCTCGCGCTCGTCTAGCGGCAGGGAGTTGCGAATAGCAAAGCGAGTGTGCGCATCACGGGTCTGCCACTGGGAACGCAGAGTGCTGTCAGCAGTCGAGTCAGGGGCAGTGGCATGGCCTAGGGCGTGGTCGTACAGTGAGATATCTTCCTTGGCAGTGAGCTGTAGGAACAGGTGCAGGTCATCGAGCCAGGTTTCGAACTTCACTGGACGGCCCTCGGCATCGAAAGCAAGTACGGGAGGACTGGCCATAGTGGCAGCAGTAGTAGCAGTAGGAGCAGTAGGAGTAGCAGTAGGATCAACAGGGCTGCTAGAACGGTCGACGCGGCTCGGTCGGGCGGCGCGGCTCAGTTCAGGTAGGGCGGCGCGGCTCGGTTCGGGCTGCGCGGCTGCGCGGAGCCGCTAAGAGGGGCGGGACGGGGTCGCGGGGGCCTCTAAGCGGGGCTCGACGGGGCCGTGGGGCCGCTAAGCGGGGCGCAGCGGGGTCGAGGGGCCGTGTGGTGGCGGGCGACGGGGCCGCGGGGCCTCTAGACGGGGTGCGCGCGGGGTCGACGGGGCCGTAAGCGGGGCGCGCGCGGGTCGACGGGGCCTCCGTGTGGTGGCGGACGACGGGGCCGCGGGGCCTCTACACGGGGTGCGCGCGGGGTCGACGGGGCCGTAAGCGGGGCGCGCGCGGGTCGACGGGGCCGCCGAGCCACTAGGCGAGGCGCGACGGGGCCGCGGGGCCTCTAAGCGGGGCGCGATCGACGGGGCCAGCGGGGCCGGGAAAAAAAAAAAAAAAAAAAGGAAGCGCTCGAGGGCGCTAAGGGGGGAGGCGCTAAAGCGCACTCCGATAGTAGGTAGTAGGTAGTGGTGGGCCCGAAGAGAAGTTAGGTCCTAGCGAAGGACCTGCTCTGAAACCATGTCAGAATGAACGGACTGGAATGATTGAACTAACAGAGAGATCAGTACAAATAGCAAACCCTAGAATTGTGTACCCCATATAGGCTAACCCACTGTAGCCTAACAAACCCAACATATATAATGTTTGACAACCTCAACCATCAAAAAGTGTACGCACTGGGCATTCACCTCGGCATCAGCTATAAATACATAGCCTAGATCATCCTCGACTTACTCAGCAACAAAGTCATACAAGTTCGCGATGTCATCTTCTACGAGCGACTAAACCTCGTGCTGTTCCGCGCGGACGAGCTAGCAGGCTCAAGTAGGTTTACGTAAAAAACGAGCGCAGTAACGCCACCTTGATAATGAAGCAGCTGCGACTATCTTGGGACAAGAACAACACTAACGAGTTCCTTGACATCGATCGTCGCAACGACGACAATGACGACGACAGCGACGAGTCACCTCTAAGACCTGCTGGAGGAAGCATCAGCCACCCTGTGCTGCCATCTCTGCCTGAGCCAACGAGAGACGACGAAGACGACATACATGAGGTCTTCCCATAGCATCAATATGACACCACTGTCTGCTAATATTTCGCGTCGCCATGCGTCATCAAACCTTAGCGACATGCACTGATTGGACCTTACAGCAAGGAGTAGTGTGCGGCCATGGACACTGAAATTAAGGCGCTCGAGTACCGCGATACATGGGTGCTCGTCGATTGAGCAGCGATCAGAGGGAGGCGGATCCTCTTGGGCAAGTGGGTCTTCCGCTCAAAGACTGCAGCGGATGGCACATTGAGCACTTTAAGGTGCGCTGGGTTGTTTGCAGCTACAACCAGCGCTATGACATAGGTTTCGACCAAACCATTGCCCCAATCAGTCCCCATACCTCTCTGCAGATCCTACTCACCATCGCTACTGCAAGGCACCTGTGATTCCGCCAAATTGAGGTGAAAGATACTATCCTACATGCGTCAGTGGATGCTGTGATTTTTATGGAGTAGCCGCATACTCACAGAGAGGGAGGTCCGCGCGTGTGTCAGTTGAAGAAATTCCTATATGGGATGAAGCAAGCTCCAAAGCTCTGGCAGAAACACATGCACAAAATTCTACTCAAAACAAGATTCATGCAACTATCGCACGACCCTGGGATGTATCGAATGCATTCTTGCAGCGATTACATCCTGCTCACAGTGTACGTAGACGATCTGCTCTACACAAGGTCAAGCAACACGCTGTTTGACCAGGTCGAGAGAAACCTGGCGATGTATGACGACATTGTCAAACTATATATTTATTAGGTTTTAGGGTACAGTTAGGTACTCTCTAGAAGGTGCAACCCAATTAGGGTTTATTACTTGTATCTTATGATATGGAATTTGAGGCAAGGTTAGGTCCATACCTACCGTTGTTTCTCCTGCCCGTACACAGCCCTGCTTGCCGCGATTGCCCGCACATGCTACCCTGCCCGTATGCTGCACCGCACGTTGCACCTGCCCGTGTGCGCTGCCTTGCCCGTACACTGCCCCGCGCGCCGTGCCTGCCCGCACGCGCTGCCCTGCCCATATACTTCCCCGTGCGCCGCGCTTGCCGGCGCGCACTGCCCTGCCCGTACATTGCCCAGCGCGCTGCGCCTGCCTGCGCGCGTTGCCCTGCCCGTAAACTGCCTTGCACACCGTGCCTGCCCGCACGCACTGCCTGGCCCGTACGCTGCCCATACGCTGCGCCTGCCCGCGCGCGCTGCCCTGCCCATGTGTTGCCTTGTGCGCCATGCCTTCCCGCACGCGCTACCCTGCCCGTACGCGGCCTGTGCACCGTGCCTGCCCTCACGCACTACCCTGCCCGTACGCTGCCCCATGCGCTGCGCCTGCCCTCTCGCACTACCCTTCCCGTGTTCTGCCCCACACGCCGCACCTACCAGCGAGACGGGCGCTACGTATGCCCCGTTTTCCTGCTGTCCAACACGACAAACGCCCTGCTGCTCTGCTGCATAGCGCGACGCGCGTTTCATTGCAACGCCGCTACCCGTGTAGCTGCCCTGCGCGACGTGCACCCTGTTGCCCCTCTGCCCCACTACCTCGCTACCCCGCTGCCCCGCTGCTCAGCTTGAAGCACGAGCCGTCATCCCGCTGCCCCGCGTGCAACTGCCCTGCGCAATGCTCGCTCCGCTGCCCCGCGCGCAGCTGCCCTACGCAGTGTGCGCCCCGTCGCCCTACTGCCCCATGCGCATGCCCTGCAGCTACCGCTGCAACTGCCACGGCACCAGCAACGGCCGCTACAACCATTTCAACAGCCGTTACAGCTGCAATAGCCGCAGCAACTGCAGCTATAGCTGCTGCTGTTGCCGCTACAGTCATTGCTGCAGCCGCTGAAGATGTTGCAGCTGCAGCAAGTACTGCTACAACTGCTGCCCCTATTGGTACAGCCACTTCAGATGCTGCTACAACTGCTGCAGCCACCACAACCATCGCTATAGCTACTGCCCCTGTCTATACAGCCGCTGTCGCTACAGCTACTACAGCAGCCGCTACAGCTGCCCCACTCGCAGCACCTACCGCTACAGTTGCTGCTACTGCCGCTACAGCCACTGCAGCACCCGCTACAACTATTGCAGCAGCCACTACAGATGCCACGACCGCAGAAAACTGCTGCTGCCGCTACAGCCACTACAGCAGCCGCTACAGCTACTGCAGTAGCCGGCAAAGTTGCCCAAGCCGCAGCAATTGCCACTAAAGCTGCTGCCTCTGCCGCTGCAGTTACTGCAACAGCCGCTATAGCTGTCGCAACCACAGCAATTGCTGTTATAGCTGCTAACCCTGTCACTACAGCTGCTGATGCTGCTGCTACACCTTCCGCATCAGCCGCAACCGCCGCTACAGCTGCAGCCACTGTCGCTACAGCCACTGCAGCTGCTGCTACAACTGTCGCTGCCGCCGCAACTGCCGCTACCACTGCTGTTGCTTCCGCCACAGCTGCTGCAACTGCCACTGCTACTGCCGCAGCCGCCCCGACAGCCGCCGCTACCGCCACTGCAGCCACTGCTCCGGCCACTGCTGCAGCTGCCGCTACTTCCACTTCTTCCGCAACTACCGCCGACTGTGCCTAGATCTGCAGCTTGACCTAGTTTCTGTCACAGCCACTCTCACTATCCTAGCGGTTCACGTAGACGGGCGCCCTTTCAAGTTAGAGTCGTGGCTTGAGTGTCTACGCCGATATCTCCGACGTTTGGTTAGAGATGGCATCTTCCTTTTCGAGCACACGTCGGGGTCCTTTCAGGCCCCCCCGAATCCCACTGAGGGTGGCGAGGACGTGAGTGGTTGTACCAGGCGCACTGCGCTGCCTGCACACGATGGACGGAGCACGACGTTGTCGCCTAGCTTGCTATTTGCACTCACCTGCCGTTCGACCAAAAGGCCCTGATTTGTCAGGTGATGTCGGCCTAGACTTTTTACGATACTATAGTTAAGCAATACTCCTCCCTCTCGACTGCCACCAGGCCACAGTAACAACGACGTCCGTTGTTCTGGGAGTGGCATCAGCTTGTCAAGGAGGCGAATGTAGGTGCCTATGAGTCTGCTCATACAGGTGGTGCAGTTGGTGGAGGCGGAGAATCTGGGGGTGGACAGCAGCAGCATGAGCAGAAGAGGAGTCTTTGGTAGTGTAAAGGTTGCTAGTCTAGGTGCTTCTGAGTTTGCTAGCACATGTGCAATTCCTGCGGAGGCCTTGCTCACCTTCACGTTGGAGTCAAGTGCGTCTCACTGCTTCTTCCGCGACTGCACCACCGTCGTAACACTCACCACGCCTGTCCCTATCACTCTGGCTGACCACTCCTTTGGCCTAGTTGTTGCACATCGTTCCCCTATTCTCCCATGTCCGGTAGTCCCATCTGGTTCCCTCACTAGTCTCCACCTTCCCTCGTTCTCTACGAACTTGGTGAGTAACTCCGTCCACCAGACTCATTTGGTCACTACCACCTCTCCTAAGCCCGAGCTTGTGGCGATTTGTACAGACTCAGTGACTGGCGACCACCTCGCCACGTTCACTCGGAGGCCTGGTTCTGGCCAATACAAACTGCACATTGAGTCTGCACAATTGGCTGCGTCCGGTCGGGTCGTTGCGTCTTGCTCGTGTTGGTTACTCACGAACCCGTACCTCCACTAGCACCACCGTCTTGGTCACCCCTCCCTACAGCTTCTGCGTGGTTGGCGTCGACTTGGGAGGGCGCCGACTTCGAGTGGTCGACCTGGCAGGGCGTCGACTTGGCGATGCTGATGTGGTGAAGCCGACTTGGTGTGGTTGGTTGACATCAGGGCTGGTCGACCTAGGTCTGGTCGACCAGGGGTATGGTCGACTTCGTGTGGTCCAGCGGTGGTGGTCGTTGACCTGGGCGGTCGACGAGCACAAAGAGGGGTGTCGCCGACTTGGAGGGCGCCGAGTTCTTGTGGTCGACCTGGTGGATTCGACCTCTGGAGGCGCCAACTTCGTGGGGTCGACCTGGGGAGTGGCCGACTTGGTGAAGTCTTCTGGTGGTCGTTGACTTGGGTGGTCGACGAGCACGTACAACTTTTGATCGACTTTCCCCGAACAAGTCGACGCCGACCTGGTGGTTCCAGGTCGACCAAGTTACCAGGGCGACGAAGTTTGCAGAGGAGCGCGACGATTGCCCATGTGGTTTTGGCAAGTCCGACCTCGGTGGTGGTATCCCGAGGTCGACGTGGCTGATCAGGCACAACCGTCAGCACGATGACGATCAGATGTATGTGCTGTGTAGGTGACAAGTCGTAGCCCGCCAATCATCTGCAAGCACCTGCGAAGCGGGTGCGATACTGTCCTGCGGGTGCAATGCTGTTCAGCCGCATTGCTGCAGCGTTGGCACGCCGTCAACCTGCAGTGTTGGCAGGCCGCGGCCTTGCACAGCTGGAGCACGGTCGACCAAGTCGTGCTGGCACGCAGTCGACCGTGCTGCGTAGGCAGTCGACGGACTTGCACGCTGGCTCTAATGTAGTCAGTCTTGCCAACCTTGTTGCTATCATTCTGAACATTTGTTGTGTACCTTTGCTAATGGAACTCTTGCCAACTTCTCCTGTGGATGAGCAAGTAGTGAGAGCACAAGCAAACGAAGAAGGAACAAACGCAGAGATCGCTCTAGCCCCATGTTTAGCCCGTAGTCTAGCTCCCGTTGATTCAGTTATCTCTGCATGGTGCTGTGAGCGTGGACAGCATCGTGACTTACCTTTCGGTCTAGTCGACGTTTGCACTTACCTATCATGTTTGTAGGCCGGCAAGCTGTGCGGTAGTCGCCATGGTGGGCGCCGTAGGTGATGCAGGGGTGGTGGACACCCTGGAGGCACGGCTGGAGGATGCGAGGAGACGCCATGAGGCTCGCGAGTATGGGGAGACGCTCACCTGGGCGGTCGTTGAGGCTGGCACCCGCGCCGTGTAGGCCGCGAAGCACCCTTCTCGACCGGCCTCTCCTCCACCGGTGACCAATGAGGGCGGCGTTGACGTGGGCATCAACGCCGGTGACCAAGTCGGCAGCAGTGCAGGAGGCACGTCGAGGCAGAGAGGAGTAATCCACGCCAATGAAGTCGGCGGCATTCACGCACGAAGGATGCAGTCGCCAGCGGCTGCAGGGTCCTCGCAAGGCGACGTCGGAGGACGTCGAAGCAGTGTGACGCCGATGTCGGCGACTGAGCTACAGCTACTTCAAGTTTACGCCGGACATGATCTCAGTCACGCCCCTGCTGGTCGGTCGTCCCGACATCCTCACTTGAAAGGAAGCCATTGAGCCGGCCGGGCTGATGGGCTTCGCCGCCGGCACCGTGGTTACGCCGTCGGAGAACTACCCCGACCTGCGTGCGGAGTTCCACGTTGTGCAGTTGCTGACCTTCACGGTCATCTCGCGGTGTTGCTCGCCGGGAGTGCAGATCGCCTTGAAGCCGTGCAGGGACTACCTGGACGCCGGCCACTAGGCTTCATCGAGTCAACGTACGAGGTCACCGAGAACCTGTACATCGGCCAGCTCGAGGAGCAGATGACGCACCTGCGGATGGGCGACCAGGAGACTGCGACCGACTACTGCAACCGGGCTCGGCGACTTCTCGCCACCATGAGGATGGCCGGCGTGCAGTACTCGATGGCGTCGTACGTCACTCACGTCCTAAAGGGGCTCCCGAGCAGCTACAACTTGCTGAAGCGGCTGTCGGTGGTGCCGAGCACGCGGGCGACGCTCAACGAGGACTCCCTGACTTTGTACATCCTGCAAGACGAGGCGATGCAGGATGCCAAGCGGTTCTCGGAGCTCCTGCCGAAGGCGAACTACGTCGCCCCGGCAAAGCAAGGTGGTCGACTGGTACAGCGCGGCCAGCCTGGCGGCAGTGGTAGCGGAGTTGGGAAGCCGGCGAAGGACGCCGAAAAGAAGTAGTCGGCCAAGGATGGTGGTCGAGGAGGAGGAAGCCGGCATCGGGAGTGTTGGAATTGTCACAGCCCTGGCCACCTCTCGTATGAGTGTCCTGACCGCAACGATTCCGACGACGACGACACTAAGGGAGGCCGCGGGAGGTCGGGCAGTCGTCGTCCACGTCGAGGAAGCAAGCCGCGCAAGGAGAAGCAGTCGACCAAGTCGACCTCGGCGAAGGACGCCGACTCCTCTGCTGGCGGCAAGGGGCGAGACGACAAGGAGGCGTCGTGCTCGCTGGTCGGCGTCGTGGAGCTGGCCGTCTCGCTGGCGCCGGAGGCTGGCGAGGACTTCCAGGCGGTGGCGGCAGCAGCAGGCGAACCCGGAGGTGGTTCTGCTCGACAGCGGCTGCTCATAGCACCTGATGGGGACGAAGGAGGTCTTCGTCGACCTGCAGCCGAGCGGCAACGTCAAGCTCGTGCGCGGCTTCAATGGTGCGCTGCAGAACGTCAAGGGCAGGGGTACGATTGCCTTGCAGGGGGAGGCCGGGAAACGGGTGCTGATTCCCGATGTGCCCTGTGTCCCGGATGTGCACGCAAACCTGCAGTCATCCGATCAGCTGAAGGAGAAGAGCGTGAAGCTGCAGGACGATGGCAACGGGATGCTGCTCGTCTCGGCAACGGAAGACGTGCTTGGTCGGGCGACGTACATTGTCCGGGTCCTCTGCAATGACCTTCGACCTTGCTCGGGGGATCTGAACTCGACCACAACGGAGGTGGTGGTACTGCGGGCGATTGTCTCGGCGACCAAGTCAACGACGGGTAGGTGGCACGCGAGGCTTGCGCCTGTCCGCGTCGACACAATCACGAGCTTGGCAAAGCACGAGGTCGCCATCAGCTTGGACATCAAGTCGTCGGCCGGTGGGGACTCCTCGTGTGTCTCGTGCGTCGGCGGGAAGCTGGCACGACCCACCTTACCCGACAAGGGCTCGGACGCTGAGGACGCCTTGGCCGTCATGCACATCGACCTGTGCGGGCCATTTTGGGTGGCTGCCAAGGATGGCAGCTTGTACTTTCTGCTGCTAAAGGACCACAAGTCCCGCTACGTGTGGGTGAGGCCGGTCGCGAAGAAGTCGGATGTGCTGCGGGAGTTCCAGCAGTGGCTGGTGACGGTTGATGCTGGGCTCTGATCGAGAAGGGGAGTTCCCAGGTAAGGAGTTCACCATTTTTGTGGACGGAAAGGGGATCGTCCACGACCTGACCTGCCCCTACACCCCGCAGCAGAACGGCATGGCGGAGTGGGAGATGCGGACGGTGGTGGAGTCGGTGAGGACGATGCTGCTGCACATGGGCATGCAGCACCACTGGTGGCACCTCGCCCCGTGGCAGGCCGTCTTGGTCTGCACCTGCATGGAGAGGTCGGCGCTACCACTGGGAATGACGCCGTACCAGCTGCTCACCAAGATGAAGCCCGACTTGTCGGTGGCATGCGTGTGGGGCTGCATGGCATAGTTTCTAGTCCTCGAGCAGCAGCGTGGTGGGAAGCTGAAGCCGAAGGCCCGGTGGGGCCTTCACCTCGGCGTGTCGGAGGAGAGCAAGGGCTGGGAGCTCCTCGACCTCACCAACATCTGGGTGGTCACCACGTTGGAGGTGGTGTTCTACGAGGCCATGTCGCTCGAGGTGTGGAAGTCGGAGCATGGGCCAGCGTCG